AGCATCAGTAAATCCTTCAATCCTTAGATGACTGGAATTTTTATACAAAATTCCCTTTCCTGGAGCCGACTTCAAATAAGCTAAAATCCGCATAACAGCTGCCATATGATCCACACTAGGGCGCGATGATGTCAGGAAGGACCGAACCCTGAATATCTCGGCAAATAGCCTCGAATTCAGTTTGGAAGGTTTGGGACCTAACTTCCGCAGAGGTGGAGGTATTGGAGGCCAGTAGAGAAGGTTTAAAGTGAGTGTTTTGAAAAGGGGGAATAAGGTATGTAGTTTCTGGGGAAAATCGCGAGCTCACGAGGGGTTCTCTGGTAAACTTGGAGGTGCGAAGGTTTGATGGGTTTTTGAAGTTTGGAGAAATAGGTCTTTGACAAAGCTTGGGCGTCTGAAGATTTTGAAAGCGTAAAGAGAAAGCAAGGAAGTCTGGGTTTTATGTTGGCGCTCGATTTCGAAACGAAAGGGCGTGTCTCTCTCGAGAGACGTAACGTTCTGTCAGAACGCTCAACAGGCGCAGCGACGTGTCAAAAGCCCAGAGGTCGTCGCTTCCTCTGACAAAGCGAAGCGACGCCCTGGGCAATGATGGCCTGCGCGACGTGCTTGAGGCATTAAATGCGCGGAATGCGCCGACTGGCCTGCGCATTTAATGCCCCAGTTGTCAATCACTTCAGAAAGGAATGCAAAGGATCCATCCCTTGGAATCCAAGCAGGGTCCCAGGCTTCATTTAATGAAGTAGTGCCTGTTTAATGCAGCAAAACCCATTGGCCACAAAGTAGCATTTAATGCATGAGGAAAGGTGGGAAGTGACTGAAGTCAGGATTTGGTGATGAAGATCAGAGTGATTAGACGTGTACATTCTCACAAGAATTCTGACAGCTTGAGATGTTGGTTCACCAGCTATCCAGGCCATAAATGCGTCTCCACGGCCAGAGGTTCAGAACCCACGATCGAGAGCGGCGGCCGAGATTCACAGGGATTTCTGGAGTCTCACCACCATACTTCACGATCCCAAATGTCGATTGGACTGCCCACTTGCGCTAATCAGACTCCACTATGCGTAAATTCAGCCTCGATTACTCATCCAGGGACTCTTCCTATAAATACAAGACTCGAGCTACATTCAAAGGGTTCAAACACCAAAACAAGCCTCCCACGGAGCAACTTATTTTTTCCTGTAATGCACTTTCAATATCTTTACTTGCTTTCCTAGGAGTAGTGTTAGGTTGTAAGCAGAATCCATTCATCAATATATCATACGACCCTTGATTTTCAAGACGCCGGAGCACCATCCTTGTTTGTTCGTTCACTCACCCCATATATCACACGACCGTCGCTCCCTGAGCGGCGCGCCGGAGCACCGCCCAAAATCCACCACCAACGCCATCACTCGACGGCCTTGTAGTTCAAGCTGTGAACCTAACAGCCGAGACCAGTTCCTCTCTCGGCTACAATCGTTTGACCAGGAAGACAGATCAAACAGGCGCAACATTCATCCATCCAACACTCATCGAAACATCAACGGACGGTAAACCGTGCTGGCACGCCCGCGCACAACCGCACCGCATCCAAAAGCAGGAAACCCCGTGTTAACGCACATGCCCTTTTTCCGGTTGAAGTTGGCTGCAGAGATATTACGGGGAGATGCTTACATGCCATGATAGTGGTTGAAATGGGTTCAGGTACGTGATGATTAAATTGGTTGTGGAAATCTCCAATTTGAAAGTCATGTAAATACACAATACAGATCCACGGCTCCTTTTCGAATTCTACCTCTGCTCCTCAATTCTTCTTCGTCTTTCTCAATCTTAGTGTATTTTTGTACATAAGTTTAGGTTTAAGTTATTGGACAACAATTAGAACCAAAATATTATTATAGCGGATGCATGCTTTCATTTCAATTAGTGTGATACTACGCTATGTTTATTCTCATATTGGGCTAAATGTATATGGTAGCTGGATGCAGAGCATAGACAGAAAAATGAAGAATCTGAAATGGAGATGCAGAGGCTTAGTGAGGAGAAAAGTAAATGGATCTGTAAATCTAGTGCACGTGGGCAAATGTAAATGGATAGGCATATGCGTTTTTGAAGTTAGGCACATGCCATTCCCATACATAGAATGTGCATCTGGAGTGTAAAGTTTTTTTGGATTTAATGAAACAAACATTTGTGTAATATTGCCCTAACTCCTTCACGACATTTACATAACCTTAACCAAACTGCATTGAATTGGGATTGGAAGACTGCATATGTGAACAATGACTGATGGCTTTTTAAAGTGTATTACATTATTGCAGAGTAATATGTCATGATTTATCCAAGCCACCATTCCAAATATCAAATCCCAATCTTTAAGCCGTTCACCATGCCTTAACTTAATCGCAATGGGTTGCATCTTAATAAGGTAATTCTGTAAGGGAAATAGGCGGCTATGCCCTCGCCTCCAATGTTTTATTCAACCATGCCCTCTTTATAGAAACACATGCGATATACATGCAGTTGTCTGCCGCGCAAATCTCATGGCCTGGGGTTCCGGGCCGAGGGGATGGGCGTTGACACGAGGTTTCCTGCTTTTGGGTGCGGTGCGGGCGGTTTCCTGCTTTTGGGTGCGGTGCGGTTGTGCGCGGGCGTGCCAGCACGGTCTACCGTGCGTCGAGTTGGTTGATGGGGTTGGATGGATGAATGTTGCGCCTGTTTGATCTGTCTTCCTGGTCAAACGATTGTAGCCGAGAGAGGAACTGGTCTCGGCTG